TAGATAGATAGATAGATAGATAGATAGATAGATAGATAGATAGATAGATATAGATAGATGATAGATTAGATAGATAGATAGATAGATATAGATAGATAGATGATAGATTAGATAGATAGATAAGATAGATGATATAGACAGATGATAGAGATTATACATAGATATGATAGAGATTATACATAGATATGATAGAGATTATAGATAGATATAATAGAGATTAGATAGATAGATAGATAGATGATAGATAGATAGATATGATAGATAGATAGATAGATGATAGATAGATAGATATGCTAGAGAGAGAGATAGATAGATAGATATAGATAGATAAATAGATATGATAGAGATAGATAAATAGATAGATAGATGATAGATAGATAGATGATAGATATGATAGAGATAGATAAATAGATAGATAGATAGAAAGATAAGATAGATAGATAGATAGATAGATAGATCTATCTTCCCCCCCCAATATTAAAATTTAACTGTTAAAATTGTGCACAATTTTACACAGTAAGTGTGTAAAACGGTAATAAGTCACTTTTTGGAGGTCGTAAGTGTGAAAAACGATCCTCTCTTTTCAGTGCTGTCGGAACTTTGGTTACTAAGTGGACTGTCGTAAGTCGAGCACTTTCTGTAAATCTGTTTTTAAAAAATTCTGAAAATCGCATTTTTGGCGGGGAGGAAAGTAGGCTCTAAGAGGAGGTGAGTTTTGGAGGCGACATACATTTCCCACGTAAGCATGCTGGCTAATCCGTGATAGGGATAAACCGTGAATCGTGGTTTACCGGCATCGGAGTGCTGGTTTTCGGAACCTCGTGGGTTTTACGGTTTTCCATAAACGAGACGGACATCGGCCGGCCTTTCACGGAGTGTCCGTTCAAAAGCTGGATTGCTAATTTTGCGGCTTCCAGGGACATCAATTCCAGAAACGCAAAACTACGGTGGAAAAAAAATGTAGAAATTTAAACCAAGATCCTTCTGGTCCAACTGGACACCCTTAATAGAGACAACGCCCATCGTCCCCAATGCCCATCGTCCCCAGCCCCCCTTTGAGCTACCAAAGGACATCTGAGAGCGAAGACCTAAGTTTCTTGGGAAAATCAGCTCCTCCTGTAGCTGCCTGGCCTACCTCGCAGGGCTGTTGTGACAAGCAGGGAAGAAAGATCAACTAAAACAGGCCATCCTCGACAGCTATGACCCCAATCGGGAACGGAATTGCTGTCGCTAAGCAAGGGGGTTGGTTAAAAGAGCCGTGTCCAAATTTTGCTGTGGTCGTTAAGTGAAACGTGCGGTCGTTAAGTGAATCGTGTGCTCGTCCTTGTTCGTAGCCAGCTGGGAAGGTCGCAAACCAGGCCATGTGACCCCCGGGATGCTGCAAACCATCATAAAACACACCGGAATGCAACTCGATCACGTGCCCGTCGGGAACACCCAGCCGTCGTAAGTGCGAGGACGGAACCGAATTCACTTTTTCCCGGGCCATTGTCTCTTCGAAAGGTTGTCCAATCAGGCCCGATTTGCTCAACGACGCCTCTTGCTTAGCGACGGACATTCTGGCCTGCTGCCCTCAAAATAATTCAAATTTTGAGGATTGTAATTTAAAAATAAAATAAATTAAATAGCAACGCCGTCCTACCTTCTGAAAGAGTTATTGTGCTTCTTCAAAGATTTGATCCCGAAATCCTTGAATAAGAAGACAATCTCTTCCTAAGGAAGAAATCAAACGAAGAGAAATGAAGGAAGCATAAGATTAAAAACATCTTTTGAAAAGGGATTCTCGGGGAGAAATTTAGATTTAAGATCCCTCGATTGGAATTATTAAGCCAAAAACTTTCTACAGCGTCTGGTTCGTTTTTTAAAAAAGAAATTTGAGAAAAAACTCACCACTTTGATATCCAGAGGCAGATTTCCAACAAAGATTTCCTTTGTTTTTAAAAGCCCTGAAAAAGCAAATTTGGGTTAGGACTCAGTAAAATATGAAAAAAAAGGACAATAGATCAGGAAAAGGCCCTTCGTTCCTTCCCTCCCTTTAACTCCTTCCTTCCTTTCCATTCCTCCCTCCCTCTTCTTCCTTCTCTCCCTTTCACTCCTTCCTTGGTTCCTTTCTCCTCCTCCCTCTTCTCCTTCCTTCCTTCCTTCCTCTGCCCTCCCATTTACTCCTTCCTTCTTCCTCCTTTCCATTCCTCCCTCCTTCTCCTTCTCTCCCCCTTTATTTCCTTCCTTCCTCTTCTTCCCACTACTTCCATCCTTCTTCCACTCCTCTCTTCCCTTCTTTCCACTCCTCTCTTCGTTCCTCCCTCCCCCTCCTTTCTTTCCACTCCTTCCTTCTTTTCTCCTCCCTCCCGCTTCCCTCCCCTCTCTTCTTCCTTGCTTCCTCCTCCCTCCTTCTGCCTCCTCTCTCCCTCTCTTCCATTCCCTCCTATCTCCCACTCCTTCCTTCCTTTCTCCTCCCTCCCTTCCTTCCTCCTCCCTCCCTTCTGCCTCCCTCTCTTCCTCTCTTCCATTCCCTATCTCCCACTCCTTTCTTCCTTTCTCCTCCCTCCCTTCTGCCTCCCGCTCTCTCTCTCTTCCATTCCCTCCTATCTCCCACTCTTCCCTTCCTTCCTCCTCCCTACCTTCTGCCTCCCTCTCTTCCATTCCCTCCTATCTCCCATTCCTTTCTTCCTTCCTCCTCCCTCCCTTCTGCCTCCCTCTCTCCCTCTCTTCCATTCCCTCTTCCCTCCCACTTTCTTCTCCCTCCTTCCTTTCCTCTCTTCCATTTCCTCCCTCTCCTTCCTTCCTTCCTTCCTTCCTTCCTTCCTTCCAACAGCCCCTCGCCACCCCCCCCCACCCAATTAGTCCCGCTTCTCCATGCCTTTAAACACATCTAAAATCAGCACTCCTAAACTTGAGGTGGTGGCTGTGAGTTCCTTAGGCCATCCCATCAGGATAAGCCCCACCCATGAGAAGCATTGGGGAGGGGGGGGCACATCATAACAGGATCTCTCAGCCTCCCCTTCCCCATTTTCTCCCCTCACTCACTCCATCCTTTTCCTTGTCTGCTGTGACTTTCTGGCCAATAAAAGCATTTTTCCACCCTTCGTAGCTCTTAATTTTTTTTGGGGGGGGGGGGAATTGCTTGAAACCCATAAATGATAAAATTCCGCCCCCCCTCCCTTAATTTTTCACGCCTTAATTGCATCTCTCCGTCCATCGTTCGGCGTGCAAAACTCCCACACACGGGTTAACTGTACGCCTCATTCACACATTCGATCCACTCTAAACTCACCCGGATGTTTCAAGGGTTTCGCCTTAACCAGCTTCTTAGGGCCCGGAGAACAAGGGTTTTCGTGGCCTGGTCTCAACCTACAAACCAGGTTAGAACAATCCGGGATTAATAACCTGCCCACCTTAAAATTGCAAATTTTGCAAAACTGCCAATATTTTTGCAAATCTGGGTTTCCCTTTGCGTAACCCTTAGCTAATTTGAGAAACTCAACCTTAAAAATCGCGTCATTCGAACCCAGCTCCGGGAGACCCCCCCCCGCCTTCTTTCAGGCTCCGCCTACCACCTGCTTAGCCCCCGCCCACCGTAAAAAAACGAGGGAACTCAAACCCCGAATCGAGAAAACACAGTAATTTTCCAAACACAATTCTTGATTTGTGGCTCACAAGCCAAGAATCTTGGGGGGAAATGGAAAAAAATTCTATATATATATAGAATATATAGAATATATTCTATATATATAGAATATATATAATATATAATAATTATATAATAATAATTCTATATATNAGGACCCAGACTGTGGGGGCGATATGCTGACTCTGTAAACTGCTTAGAGAGGGCTGAAAGCCCTATGAAGCGGTATATAAGTCTAACTGCTATTATTAAAAATATCCAGGTGGGGGATAAATACAAATAAATGAATAATTCAAAGGCGTTTCGTCTCCAGTCTTGTGCCTATAAAAGCAGGCTGGGAATCATAGATCGTTTTCTTTAATCGTTAAATCCGCTCGGTTCTTTTTAAATTGGGAACCATTGATTTATCTTTCTCTTTTTCTCTTTCTTTCTTTCTTTCTCTCTCTCTCTCTCTCTCTCTCTCTTTCTTTCTCTCTCTCTCTCCAGGTACGTCTTGGGTGGAGGAGCCATCTGCATGGAGCTTCTGACCAAGCAGGTGAGCAAGGCAGGGGGGCGTCCAGGCCTCTGGTGGGGGTCCCGGGAGGTCGGCTTCTGCCCCTGACCAGGACGGACTAACCCCGGCCTTTCCCCTCCGCAGGGCTGGAGCAGCGCCTACTCGGTGGAATCTGTCATCATGCAGATCAGCGCCACCCTGGTGAAAGGCAAAGCCAGGGTCCAGTTTGGGGCAAACAAGGTAAAGGATGGTGGGGAGGCTTCCTTCCTCCCTCCTTCTTTCCTTCCTTCCTTCCTTTTCAAGCTTCTTCCTTCCCTCCCTTCACACCCTCCTGCCTGCCTTCACAAGTTTCTTCCTTCCTTCCCTCCATACCCTCCTGCCTGCCTTCCCTTCCTCCTGCTTCCTTCTCTCCCTCTTTCCCTCCTTTTCAAACTTCTTCCTTCCCGCCCTCCACACCCTACCGCCTGCCTTCCTCTCCTTCCATCCATACCCTTCTGCCTGCCTTCCCTTTCTCCTGCCTTCCTTCTCAATTTTCTTCCTTCTCTCTCCCCCTCCTTCCTTCCTTCCTTTTCAAACTTCTTCCTTCCCTCCCTCCTTCCTTCCTTCCGTACCCTCCTTCCTGCCTTCCCTNACTCCCAGAATCCCCCAGCCAGCCAGCCTGACCTTCCTCCAGCATGAAGGGCTGAGCCAGAGGGCGGATTTCCCAGAATTGCTCCCCGTCCAGCTTGCGTAGCGAGTTCAAGGGGACGCTGGCGCAGCGCCCGAAGTCCAGAAAGAAGACCACGCCCAGGTCGCCCAGGGGCTCCAGCACCCAGCATCTTGGGGGGCAAAGAGGGGGGGGGGGTAGAGAAAGAGAGTGCCAAATATCTCAATCCTTCCTTTCTTTCACCCCTCTCTTTCTTTCGTTTCCTTCCTCTTTTTTTTGCTTCCTTCCTCTTCTATTTCTTCTTTCCTTGCTTGCTTGCTCCCTCCTTCCCTCTCTCCCTGCCCCCTCTTCCTTTTCTATTTGTTCCTTCCTTCCTTCCCTCTTCTATTTTTCCTTCCTCGATTGCTTGATCCCTCCTTCCCTCTCCCTGCCTCTTTTTCTTCCCTCTTTCCCTCTTTTTCCTTTCTTCCTCCTTTCCTATTCTTCCTCCCATTTCTCCCTCCCTCCTCTATTTTCCCCTTCCTTCCTTGCTCCCTTATTCCACCTCTCCCTCCTTCTCCTTCCTTGCTCCCTCTGTTTCCTTCCTTCCCTCCTCCCTATTTTTCTTTCTTCCCTCTTATATTTTTCCTACCTTGCTTGCTTGATCCCTTCTTCCCTCTCCCTGCCTCTTCCCTCTTTCCCTCCCTCCTCTTTTCCTCCTTTCCATTTCTATTCTTCCTTCTATTGTTTCCTTCCTTTTTTTGCTTCCTTTCCTCTTCTATTTCTTCTTTCCTTGCTTGCTTGCTCCCTTCTTCCCTCTCTCCCTGCCTCCTCTTCCTTTTCTATTTTTTCCTTCCTTTCCTCTTGTATTCTTCCTTCCTCGATTGCTTGCTCCCTTATTCCCTCCCTCCCTCCCTCCTTTTCCTTCCTTCCTTCCTCTGTTTTTCCTTCCTTCCCTCCTCCCTCCCTCCTCTATTTTTTCCTTCCTCTCCTCTTCTATTTTTCCTTCCTCGATTGCTTGCTCCCTTATTCCCTCCCTCCTTTTCCTTCCTGGCTTCCTCTGTTTTTCCTTCCTTCCCTCCTCCCTCCCTCCTCTGTTTTTTCCTTCCTTTCCTCTTGTATTCTTCCTTCCTCGATTGCTTGCTCCCTTATTCCCTCCCTCCTTTTCCTTCCTGGCTTCCTCTGTTTTTCCTTCCTTCCCTCCTCCCTCCCTCCCTCCTCTGTTTTTTCCTTCCCTCTCTCCTTCCCTAGGGCTGGTTCCCCAAATGGGGCAGGGGCTCCCTCACCTGTTCCAGGCGCTGCCCCCATCCCCGATGTCGCACTGGGCCAGGCACCGCGTCCCCCTCTGGACCTCCCCTTTGGCCAGGAAGCCCAGGCCGCACTCGGCCTTGGCCAAAGCCGTGAAGAGTTTCTCCATGGATTTGCAGCATTCCTGCAGGTTCAAAAGACAAAAAAAGGATTGCAGCCTCTAAATCAGCAGCACAAATCAAGTTTCTAGTCCTCATGAGGCTTAGAAACGGTGCCGCTGCTCCCCAGAAGCACGAATCAAGTTTCAGGGCCTTACGAGGCTTAGAAATGGTATCGCTGCTCCCCAGCAGCACGAATCATGTTTCTAGCCCTTATGAAGCTTAGAAATGGTACCGCTGCTCTCGTGAGGCTTAGAAACAGTGCCGCTCTTCCCCAGAGGCACGAATCAAGTTTCTAGCCCTTATGAAGCTTAGAAATGATATCGCTGCTCCCCAAGTAGCACGAATCAAGTTTCTAGCCCTTATGAAGCTTAGAAATGGTACCGCTGCTCTCGTGAAGTTTAGAAACAGTGCCGCTCTTCCCCAGTGGCACGAATCAAGTTTCTAGCCCTTATGAGGCTTAGAAATGCTACCACTGCTCCCCAAGTAGCACGAATCACGTTTCTAGCCCTTGTGAGGCTTAGAAACAGTGCTGCTGTTCCCCAGAGGCATGAATCAAGTTTCTAGTCCTCATGAGGCTTAGAAATGATCCTGCTGCTCCCCAGAAGCACGAATCAAGTTTCTAGGCCTTATGAGGCTTAGAAATGGTACCGCTGCTCCCCAGTAGCACGAATCAAGTTTCTGGGCCTTATGAGGCTTAGAATCAGTGCCGCTGCTCCCCAAGTAGCACGAATCACGTTTCTAGCCCTCGTGAGGCTTAGAAACAGTGCCGCTGTTCCCCAGAGGCACGAATCAAGTTTCTAGCCCTTATGAGGCTTAGAAATGGTGCTGCTGCTCCCCAGCGTCACGAACCAAGTTCCTAGCCCTCGTGAGGCTTAGAACCGGCGTCCCAATCTACAGAGGGGGAATCCCTCAGGCTAGGAATATCGGGGTGGCTCAAACCTCGTTGAGGACGATGGCCCAGAAGTACGGCATCAGCGGAAGCGTGTCCGTCACCAAAAGCCCCACCTCCCCCGTCGCGGAGACCACGGAACGGAGCCACGTGGCGTCTCCGAAGCAGCTGTTCAGCATGTGGGAGAGAAACGAACTCCTAAAAGGAAATAAAGAGGGAAGCCGAAGGAGAAGGAAAGAGAGCGGAGACCCCTCGAGGTCATCTAGGAGGAAACCACCCTCCCCTCCCCCCACATTTTCTCCTCCTCGTGTTTCCACGTACCTCATTTCCATGGGGACAACATAGTCGACTCTCTGATTTACAGGGGAGATGTGGGTGCCACCTTTGAGGGTTTTTTAAAAATAAATAAAATAAAAGCAAATTTGAGCCTCAATGCCAGCAAGGCTAAACCGCCACGTAAATCGCAATCCAGATAAATCAAGCTTTTGCCCCGAAGCCTGATTTTCTTAAAACGGCATAAAAAAAACCCCCAAATTAATTAAAAACTGGGTACGAGGCTGCTCCCACGGAGGCTTTGACCAGGATGGAAATTAAAAATAAGAAGAAGAATAGAACAAGATGCTGATCTCGTACCGTTGGTCAATCCACCTTCGCTGGCGGGGATCACTTCTAAACCCTACCCAAGGGGGGAGAAAGTGACATTTGTAAGGGAATAAATCCAGATTTACTGGGTTTCAATTGCACTGAAAGTTTAAACAGAATTCATGTTTAACACAGCAAGCCCACATGATAGATAGATATGATAGAGATTAGATAGATATAGACAGATAGATGATAGAGATAGATATGATAGATATGAGATTATATATAAATAGATATGACAGAGATTAGATAGATGATAGATATGCTAGAGATATATGATAGAGATTATAGATAGATATGATAGAGATTAGATATAGATGATAGATATATAGATAGATATTTAGATAGATACGTAGATAGATGATAGATTAGATAGATAAGATAGATATTTAGAAAGATAGATAGATAGATAGATAGATAGATAGATAGATAGATAGATAGATATAGATAGATGATAGATTAGATAGATAGATAGATAGATATAGATAGATAGATGATAGATTAGATAGATAGATAAGATAGATGANAGAGATAGATAGATGATAGATAGATGATAGATAGATAGATAAAGAGATGATTAGATAGATAGAGATAGATAGATGATAGATAGATGATAGATAGATAGATAAAGAGATGATTAGATAGAGATAGATAGATGATAGATAGATAGATAGATAGATAGATAGATAGAACGAACAGAGATGAGAGAGCGCGAGAGATGATAGATACAGAGATGAGATATGAGAGAGAGAGAGATGATAGATAGAGATGAGATAGATAGATAGATAGATAGATAGATAAAAACCTAGAGAGAGAAAGAGAGAGAGAGAATAATAAGAGTCGGAAGGGACCTTGTAGGTCATCTAGTCCAACCCCCACCCAAGCAGGAGACCCCATACCATTTCTGACCGATAGCAGTCCAGTCTCGTTCGTGGGGTGTGTTTTTCTTTGTGTGTTTATATACCTATAAAATCCCCGTGTGCGCATCTTGAGAGATGCATTATGGCCTCGGCCACCAGGGGGAGAGCGGAGCTGCGAGGGGGGACAAAAAAAAACCCCAACAAAGCTTTGTCGCCCCCTGGCGGCCGCCCGTAGCCTTGCATCCGAATTCTGCTTTCAACAAAATCTGCCACTCTCCGAAAATCCCTTCGGGAGGGAAGGGCTCGTTTTAGCATCCCATAACCGGGGAGGGGTAGGGGAGGAGAGTCTTCTGCGACCCCCCCCCTCTTCCCACTCTTGTAATTTTTGCCCCCTGCCCCTTTCCAGATAAAACTTTCTTTTTAAAAGGAAAAAAAAGTCCAAAATACCCTTGGAAGAAAAAAATCATAATTAATTTAAGTTTTTTTTTTCTAAATTACTTTTGCAAACTTTCCTTATTCCCATGTCTGCAGGCTGCGCGGGTTTAGCGCAGCCCCTGCGCGCCCCCGCGCTTCCCCTCTGCGCGCCCCCGACCCATCCAAGCCACCACCACCACTCCGCCCTCCGGATCTGGGCGTGGGGGGGGGGGGTGTTTGCCGCCCCCTCCCTCCTCCCTGCGCGAGCCAGAGCAGCGCTCGCAAAGTTGCGCGAAGCCAAGCCAGCTCTCCGCACCGGATCGCGCGCAGGGAGGGGCAAGTAAATTGCAACTGGAAAAAAGGGCAGGGGGTCTTCTTCCACCCCTGGGCTGGAGAAAGAGGCTTTTTTTGTGGGGGGGGAGGAAGGTCTGGGGGGGGGACATCCCCCAATTTACAGCTTTTCTGCCATCTCCTTTGCTTTGGAGACCCTCCCTCCTGAGGTTTTTGGGTGGGGGTCCTGATGCATCTCTCTTTTGGGTAGGGGGGGGGAAGCAAACCCCCTTTGTTTGCTCTCTACACCCGGCGAGGAAAAAGCCCCCACCCCAGGATTAAAATCAGAAAAACGGTGTGTGGGGGGAGAGAACGGGCTTCGATTTAGCTAGCCCCCTAACTCTGCACCCCGAGATCCTTCCATTTTTGGCTTTCCTCTCTATTTTTAAATGACAACCCCCTCCCCAATTTGCTGGTTTCCTCCCCCTCCCCTTTCTGGCCGTTTCCAACTTCCCAAAACTCCCGGGAAAAATCCAGAAAATTCCCTCTTCGGTCGGCTGACCTAAATCGATACTAAGATTTGGGGTACGCGAGTAGTAGCTAGTCCTCAGGAGGCAGGAGGTCCTAGAGGGAAGAGGGAGAGAGAGAGAGAGGGAGGGAGGGAGGGAGGGAGGGAGGGAGAAACGTTATTTGGGGCAGGGGTCTTCCTGGAGTCCCAAATCTGGGGCATGCATTGGGTAGCCTTCTTCTTCTGCACTTGGCTTTCTCAGTTGGCAAGCGGGGTGCAGCTTCCCAGCTGGGGTGCTGAAGGGCGGCCTGAGGCTGCTGGGGGACCCCAGGAAAATTTTGGGGGGGAGGGGGGTAGAGGGTCTCCCCGCCGTCCTTCTTAACTCTGCCCGGGCATCATGGCAGCCAAATGGTTCAAAGAATTTCCCGCCAATCTGAAAACCGTCTCGGATCGCCCTAAACCAACCAGCGGGCATCATATGGGCAAGCCGAGCACCAGCGGTGCCCGGAAAAATTTAAGCTTGCCCGAAACCGGCCTGGCATCGTTGCCCGGGAAAAACCGAAAAAATTCCGCCACCGAGCTGAGTGGCACTTCAAGTAGCCGGTTATCGCGGGACAATCTCCAGGGGCTCCTGCAAGCCGCCGCCGGGAAGATACGTAAGAATTCGCGGGTGGAAGGGGCCCCCTCGGAGGACCCCGGCTGGGGGGGCCCCAAAGTGACCCCCAGTTGTGGAGGGTACATCAACCGGCTCATCAAAGTCAACGCCCAGGAGAAGAACGCAAAGAACTTTTCAGGATCAGCTCCGAATCCCGGTTCACTCCCGCCGGTCGAACCGGAGAAGCCCAGGCAGGAAACGGTAAATGTGCCATTACCAAAATTTGCCAGTTTCTGGGCTCTGGAAGATGGAGGGGTGCAGGTTGGTTGGGGGGGGGGCTGGCGGTTTTTTGCCTTTGCCATTGGAGTTTTTTTTTAAAAACGGGGGTTCGGTTTGGAAGGAAAACGAGGAAATGGTATTTTTTCCCCCCGAAACTTTTGCCGTGGTTTAATTTGTTAGGGTTTAAAAATTAAACCTTTCCGTTTTGGGAAGAAATGGAGCAGATCTTACACAATCCAATTTTGGGAGGAAAAAGGATCCGGCAATGTTTGTGGTATTGGAAACCTTTTTTCTAATTTTCTTCAGCCAAATTGCAAGCAGAGAAGTAGGAAAGAGAGAAGGAGAGAGGGGGTGGGGGGCAGAAGAAAGAAAGAGAAAGAGAGAGAGAGAAGGGAGGAAAAGAAGGAAGAAAAAAGGGAGAGAGAGAAGGGAGGAGTAGAGGGAAGGGAGGAAGGTATGGAAGGAAGAAGGAAAGAAGAAAGAAAGGGAGGTGGATAGAGAAGGAAGGAAGGGGGAGAGAGAAGGGAAGGGAAGAAGGTAGGGAAGGAAGAAGGAAAGAAAAAGAAGGAAAGAAAGAAAGAAAAGGAAGGGAGATGGGTATGGAAGGAAGGATGAAAGGAAAGGAGAGAAGAAGGGAGGGGGAGAGGGAAGGGAAGAAGGTATGGAAGGAAGAAGGAAAGAAAAAGGAAGAAAAGGAAAGAAGAAAGAAAGAAAGAAAGAAAAAAGGGAGGTGGATACAGAAGGAAGGAAGGGGAGAGAGAAGGGAAGGGAAGAAGGTAGGGAAGGAAGAAGGAAAGAAAAAGAAGGAAAGAAAGAAAGAAAAGGAAGGGAGATGGGTATGGAAGGAAGGATGAAAGGAAAGGAGAGAAGAAGGGAGGGGGAGAGGGAAGGGAAGAAGGTATGGAAGGAAGAAGGAAAGAAAAAGAAGGAAGAAAAGGAAAGAAGAAAGAAAGAAAGAAAGAAAGAAAGAAAGAAAGAAAGAAAGAAAGAAAGGGAGGTGGATAGAGAAGGAAGGAAAGGGGGAGAGAGAAGGGAAAGGAAGAAGGTAGGGAAGGAAGAAGGAAAGAAAAAAAGGAAGGAAAGGAAGAAAGAAAGAAAGAAAGAGAAAAGGAAGGGAGATGGCTATGGAAGGAAGGACAGAAGGAAAGGAGAGAAGAAGGGAGGAGGAGACGGAAGGAAGGAAAGAAGAAAAAGAAGGAAATAAATAAATAAATTGATTGATTGAAGAGAAATGTAATATACCATATTTCAAACAAGACTCAGTTGTTGATGTTATAAACAGTTTGCAAAATGAAAGAATCTGGATGGAAGGAAGATAGATAGATAGATAGATAGATAGATAGATAGATAGATAGATAGATAGATAGATAGATAGATATAGATATAGATATATTTAAGAATATGTTTAAGAATATATATATATAGATATATTTAAGCCTCCTGGAGTTTCTTGGACAGAAACACGGACGGCACAGAAGTTTAATCAACAAGCTATAAAATGACGGTTTATATTGTTTAATCCTTTTCGGAAGGTTATCATTTTGGAGGATTACGCCGACCCGTACGACGCTAAGCAGACCAAGGGCCAAAGAGATGCCGAAAGATTGGAAGAGAACGACGGTTACATGGAGCCTTACGACGCGCAACAGATGATAACCGGTAATCACGGTTTGTTTCGGGATGAAATCAAGATGGCTTCTTTTGAACTCTGCTCCTTCACCCCTCCAACCCCTGACGGATCAACTATTCGGAGGGGGGGGGGGAATGGCAGAGGATAGCTCCCCTTGTAACTTCGAATGGTCACTAAATTGAACGGTCGTAGGTCCAGGATGCTTAGTGGTGTCTTTGACCCCCCCACACCCCAAATTTTAACCTGGTTTTAAATCCCCACCCCGCCTGCCTTCGGCTGCTTAAGCTCGGGAGACGTCAATTTCCAGATCGTCCAAAATTTGCAAACGGGCGACGGCGTTGAAAAGTGGCAACAATGGAAAAACGAAGGCGAAAATGGGAACCGGGCGAAGCGAGCTGGATTTTTGCCACTAGAACTCCCCACCCACCCAGCGCTGAGGCCGCCGTAGAGAAAAACAGGAAATTGTAGCACCGGAACTTGGAATAAAAGAGGCCATTGTCGGCTGGAGTCACGGATGAGATGAGAGGCAATCGGGGCAGGAAATTGGTGTCCACGTTTTCTTAAAATTTCCAGGCCTTTTGAGCCTCTCGGTTTTCCCAGCCCTCTTGGCAAAACCGGCTCGGTTGTTTTGGAAAGAGGGTTTCTGAGCCTGTGCAGAGTGTCCTTGTTTGGCTCCTTCTGTTTTTTTTTAAACGGAAGAAATGCTGGGGAAATAAATGGGGGGAAAAGGCCACAGGAATCACGAAGGGGCCCCGGCTTTGATGAGAGGAAAGGCGTGAGCTATGTTTCATGAGGACTAGGAACGCCCTGCGGGTTTGTTTGGCGTGAAACAAGGAGGGAGGGGGGAAAGGAAGTTATTGTTTGTGGTTTGGGGTGATTCGGAGGCAAAAAATGGGATTGGAGGGGAAAAGGAAAGGCATGTAAAAGAAGAGATGAATTGATACATTTGGTTATACAATTGGGGTAAAAATATCAGCATTTCTTTTTCCTTCCTTTTTTTCTTTCCTCCTTCCTTCCTTTCTTCTTTTCTTCCTTCCTCCTTCCTTTTCTCCTTCTTTCATTCCTTCCTCCCTTCCTCCCTTTCTTCTTTTCTTCCTTCTTCTTTCCTTCCTTCCTCCTTCCTTATGTCTTAAAACAATTTTACTTTTTCCATTCTTTCTTTCCTTCTTCTTTCCTTCCTTTCTACCTCCTTTCTTCCTTCTTTCCTTCCTTTCTTCTTTCCTTCCTTCTTTCCTCCTTCCTTTTTCCTTCCTTCCTTCTTCCTTCCTCCTTCCTTCCTTCTTTCATTCCTTCCTCCTTCCTTCCTCCCTTTCTTCTTTCCTTCCTTCCTCCTTCTTTCCTTCCTTCCTCCTTCCTTCCTTCCTCCCTTTCTTTTCCTTCCTTCCTCCTTCTTTCCTTCCTTCCTCCTTCCTTATGTCTTAAAACAATTTTCCTTTTTCCATTCTTTCTTTCCTTCTTCTTTCCTTCCTTCCTTCCTCCTTCCTTCTTTCCTTCTTTCCTTCCTTCCTTCCTTCCTTCCTCCCTTTCTTCTTTCCTTCCTTCCTTCCTCCTTTCCTTCCTTCCTCCTTCCTTATGTCTTAAAACAATTTTCCTTTTTCCATTCTTTCTTTTCTTTTTTCTTTCTTTCTCTCACCCTCTCTTTCTTTTTTTCTTTCTTTTTTGCTTGTCTTTCCTCCCTCCCTCCTTCTTTCTTACTCTTTCTCTTTCCTTTTCCTTCTTTCTCTCTCCTTTATTTCCTTTCTTTTTCTTTCTTTCCCTATTCCTTCTCTCTCTCTCTCTCTCTCTCTCTCTCTCTCCATCAACTTATATTAAATGGTGAATAAAAAACCCCACCCTCTAACACCCAATAAATAAAGCGTATTTCTTCACACGGCTTCACACAGCTCTGCCCTTCCTTGTAGAAATCCGGAGAAGGGGCTCCAAAGACCCCCTTGGGGGGAAAGCTGTCCTGCTCCTGGGCGAACCAGGACCGAAGGGAGACACGGGGGCCAAAACCCCAGCGTCCAAACCTTTGCAGATTTACGATACCCCTTACGAACCGGCCGAGACGGGCTCTCGATCCGAGATACGCCTCCCCGGGAACGACGAACGTCCACCGGCCGAGTACGAACAGCCTTGGGAATGGAAGAAAGAGCAGATTGTTAAAGTTCTCTCAGGTAAGGAAAAGGGGGAGTCCCAAAATTGGGCAGGTGGGTGGAGGGGGTTGGGGAGATCGTGTCGCACAAAAATAATAGATTTGTCCAGTGGAGATTTTCTTGCAGAGAATCAGTTCTAGGCTGCATCAACAGAGGAATAGAATCAAGATCAGGTGAAGGGTTGATACCACTTTATAAAGCCTTGGTAAGGCCACACTTGGAATATTTGCATTCAGTTTTG